GTACTGTATGAAGTGAAAATTGAAATTGCGTGAATGTTTTTTAACAAATGACAGCACTGTCACCATGACTGTGTACTTATCGAGGTAACCACTGAACTGTGATTACAGAAACAGGAACTTGGAGACTCTCTTCATGGTTTCCTGCAGTACGGCCTGTTTCTTGTGACCAAGTATAGAGACATCTATCCTCCAGTTACCACTGCTACTCCCAAACTACACACACTGCTCAGGTACAGCCTGAAAATACATGTATGTAACTGCTGTCTAACTGTGAGCAGAAATGAACAACTTGGATCTTTTTTTTTTGTCTTTCCAGGATCCTGGTCCAGATCTGTAAGACTCAAGCGTTTCAGAAACTAAACCCAGCTCAGTTCGAGTTGCAGGAGGAGATCAGTGACGCCATACAGGTCCAGCCTTGTACTACAAACGTTATGCATGTACCGTATATGCAGTAGAAGTCACCTACATTCAGCTAATGATGTTATCTTTCAGACAGGTACACAGAACTGGTTTGCTGTTAAAAAGGGTTTGCATCAACCAATGACTCAGGTATGAAAGTCCCCACACCGTGGCTGGTGTCGGTACCTCTCCATTCTTTTTTGTTAACCTAATGCCAGGTCATCTTTCACTTTTGCTGCTGTAAAGGACCTGTCCGAGACTGTGGACGCCCTCTCCAGGTTGATTGGGGAGGTGCAGCAAGACATTATTCACAACAAGGACGTCTGGAACAGAGTATTCGTAAGGTCTGAGCTGTGAGCCGTTTATCTGTAATTAATGGCTGCCCTGACAGGAAAATGTTAGCTGTTGTTGTGATGCTGATGTTTATGTCACGTCATCAGTGCTGTCCAGGTGGACGTCTTCACTGTCGTCTATCAGACTTTTGACTCCCTGGTAAGTTTTCTCAGAAAGTCTTCACTATTTTGTTGGCAGTACAATACCTGACAGACCCGTCCTATATGTTCTCCTGCTCCTCACAAACAGTTGGCAAACGAAGTCAAGGAAATCTTATCAAAGATGGAGGGTCAGATGGAGCAGCCTCTGGCAAACAGTCTGTTCCCGGTGTACCAGAGTCTGCAGGCCATCCTCAAGGAGAAGGCCTTTTTACAGAGAAGGTCAGAACACAAAGAAATGTCCTCTGCATGAAGTGTTCTCCTAAGGTGTCATAAACTAACCCTGTGAGCTCGTGCACAAACCAGCCCAAATGTTCCTGTTCTTTCAGGGGATTCCTAAAACTGACAAACTATCACGAGGGCTTCAGGGAGGCTTTGCCATACTGGCTGAACAAGGTTTTCAGCACAACTCAAGACCGCGTGGAGCGGGCTGTACAGGTGGACCAGGTACTGTGATAATAATGATTTGCATTTCTTTAAATAGCTGATTGCACACAGTCCACATGTGCTTCTATTGCTGAGACCAAACCAACATCTACATCATTACCATTCCAGCAGGCCACATCGTTTCAAATAAATGTGGGACAAACATATGGTGTTACTATCACCATGTCATTGTTAATTTGTATAGCCAACACTGGCCCTAGTTGTGACTATTTTGAATACAGCATGGCAGCCCTGTGGCCACTAAGTGGGTCGTATGGATCTCACTTTTTAGCAAACTTTGCAAAAACATTTATACCATTTAAAAAGGCTTGGAGTGATGATTACAGAGCCAGGTCCAAGGCAGAAAGTGGAATGGTGTGGATCCCCAACAACTTCTAGCAACTGTATCGTTACATTTCTGTCAGAGATTATCGGACCAATAGTGGTCACTACATCGTCCTGTATCTTCTAAACTCCTCTCAGCTCCAGCCTCTGCAGTGCGGCTCCATTACAATCAAACACAGTTCCTCTGCCGTCGACCTGTTGGCGTGTATCCAGCCCATCTGCAGGCTGTGGGAGCAGCTGTCATGGCCAGACCCTGAGGAAGCCTTCATGCTCATGGTTAAACTCACTGAGGTACAGTTTAGTGACATCATGTGGTTTCAGTCAGATGCTGCATCCCACTGTGAAAACCAGGAATTACCCATGGTGCTCTCTGTGTTTTCAGGATGTGTGTAAGATAGTGGTGAACTACTGTCACACCCTGAAGGAGAGGGTGAGGGTGCTGTCAGAGAACTCTGACCCTGGCAGTGCCATCAACATGGTGAGCACAGACCCAGAAGGCATTTACTGTACCAAATACTAACCAAGTACAGCATAATTACAACTGTTGATGTGACTTTGCAGTTGTGTGTGGTAGTGAACGACCTGGAGCACCTCAGATCAGTCCTGACCAAACTCCCCACACAGCTGAACTGGGCTGGGCTCCGTGATCGGACTCAGAACGTCATCGGCGAAAGCCAGTTTAACAACACTCTGCCTTCGCAGCTTGAGCAAACCCAGAGCATCCTCAGGCGAGAGATCCACTCTGCACTGGACACTCTCGGGAAAAAGGTGTGCTCACGCTGTCATCAAAGTATTTGCAGTAGTAGTAGTATTAGTATTAGGCACTGACACTTCACTATCATCGTTAACTCTGTTTCTTTAAGCTGAACACAGACATTGAGAATTACGTTAGAAGCATGTCAACACGACGAAGGATTCCGTCCAAGTCCACGGAGGACGTAAGTCACTGTTGTCTAGACACTGACACTGATGCCTGTGGTGTTTAGTTCCAATCCAGACGTATTTTTGTTTCAGGCTGCAGCTCCGCTGATGCAATACCTGGAGCAAGAATTAAAATACATGAATGAAAACCTGGTTCAGGAGAACTTTAATAGGTAGGTGTGTCCTTCATTGTGATGGTTCCCTGTGGTTGTCTTCAATATGTTGTCTGTTTATGAAACTCCTTCCTCTTACCTAGCCTCCTGACTCCCTTGTGGAACAACTCGGTGAAGATCTTCCAGCAAGTGACCAAGCAGGATTCACATCAGGAAGGATTCATGGTGTTCTGCCAGAGGCTGCTGTACACACTGCAGGTTGGTCCTTCACCCATCGTGTCCTATATGAGGACGGTGTTCGAAGCACTGGGTGTGAGGGTTGTCCTTTGATGAGAAGGTCGGAGTTTTGATTTAAGTTGTACTCCAGTCTGATCTTGAGACATTGAACTCCAACTCCATATCCTTTTGCAGCCACTGGGGTCAGGGGGGTCGCTTTGTTTCCCCTTTAGGGAACTGTGCACATTCTGTTCATTATATGTCCCCCCTTTAGGGACTTCACTGTGCACATTCTGTTCATTATATGTCCATGAACTATATTTAAGGGGCCTTTTGTTGTTTTGTATGTCAGTGTCTAGAGCAGTGTTTCCATGCAGAGGGGAGTGGGCTTCCACTGACCTCCCTTCACTCTGAAGAGTATAAGGTGAGACATTGTAAACAAAGCACAGAAACTGTATACTTCTCCTTAAGCATAGACATTCAATGTCAAGACAGCCTCAACAATCCAGTCAATGGTCTCTGCCGTCCATCCAGACTCTCAAAGCCCACCTGACCCACCACTCACTGAGCAGCCAGGAGCTCATTCAGAAGTTCTACGACAGAAAAATAAAGGAGCAGGTAGGATAGTCACCGGACTCCAAAGATGTCCCATCATGCTCTTCATTGTCCAAACACCCTGTTTTCTACCACACACACAACAGAATGTGTTCAGCGGAGAGAAATATGGTGCAGTCACTCTCCTCACATCCTACAGGAGGTCGGACCAAAGACTTCGGGTTGAGGTTCTGAACGCAGTGAACCTCTTACCCATGGACTATAACGGTACAAACACACCAAACCACAACAATGTGGATTCTTCAAATAAAAGAATATTAATCTGGGAGTGATTCGCAGGTTTCAGTGACCCCTTCGTGCAGCTGTGTCTGGAGCCTCAGCACATCTTTCCTGAAGTAGAAACTCGCAGCACTCAGATCAAACCATGTGATCTTAATCCCCTCTTTGACGAAGCCTTTGAATTGTTAGTTGTCCTTCTTTCAAATTTTTCATTTTTCTCATGTTTTTTCTCGGACGAGTCCTGTAACCTCCATGTTTTCTTTCACAGTCTGGTGTCTCTGGATCAGTGTCAGACCCCGGGGGCTTGTCTGGTGGTAACGGTTCTAGACCACGACATCTTGAGGTCAGATGACTTTCAAGGAGAAGCCTTCTTGAGTCTCAAGGCGATACCAGGAGTTGGTGGAGCAAAGGAAGATGATGGACTCACAGTGACACCAGACAAGCCTCCTGCCCAGATACGGCTTCCTCTGATGCATCCAAAGCCTAATGGTGAGATCCATGATTTTGGGGTTTGATACGCCACAGCTTCGAGAACTTTACTGCCCTCGGACCTTGGCTTGAAGTTGATGGTTTTAGTAGTTATTCTGACTAATACTTATGTTTTTGACAGATTTCAGCTCATTGTCAACTACTCTCCTATATTTTCTCAGTGAACTTTTCACGTTTCATTTAACTCAAAACTCATGTTAGCAGTGGTCGACAAACTTTACCAAGACTTATTTTTGGATTAAAGTCTAGGAATTTGTCCGAACATGGCTAATTCTCATCCTATGATCTGTAGAACATTATCCCAGCACTTTTAAAATGTCAACCTTGACAAAAGAAGTATTGTAAACTCATTATTTGATATGAGAACTGATTTTCGTTTTTCTTCTCAGAGGACAGTATTCTGAGTCTCCTGGACTCCAGGAAAGGAGAGCGAGAAGCCCAGGCCTTCGTGAAGAAGCGAAGACAGAGAGAAAAGCAGTCGCTGGAAAGTTTGAAGCAGTGACAGACACAGAGAGACAAAGTCCTTAATCCAAAAATATACAATTTGTTTTAATGATCTGTACCAAAAACAAAGACGCAAACAAGAAAGTCCACTTAGAAGGAAACACTGTGTAAGATGAGTTGTTTGTGTGTGTGTATGTGTGTGTGTGTGTGTGTGTGTTTGTGTGTAGAATCGATCACAGTGAACATGAACATGTTGGTTCTGTCTGCTTCCTGATGTTCTGTCTAATCAGTGCAACCATAAGAATGAAATTACTGAACTATGGGTAGAGATATAATATATATATATATATATATGTTAGACTACTTTTGACACATTGTGAAATGTCAAAAAAAATGACTACAAATAAACAATTTTAAAATAAAATAAACTGATTTTAAACATAGCAAAGGGGCCCAGGTTTATCTAAAGCTAAAATAAAGCGTAGTATAAAGAAAATAAACAACGTAATGTTTCTTCAGAGACTACTCGTGTGAACCGAGTACATTTGCCTTGATTGTACTATAACATGCTTACATTGTCCAGTTTGTGGGAGAAAACTGGAGAAAACCTGAGAGTTTTGTTCTTAAATGAGGCCATTTGTTGGAAAGAAACAAATCTTAATATGTTGTTTTAAATATTGTTTCATTATGAAAAAAAGCTATTTTAAATAAGTATATTTAGCTCGAAAGTTTTTTTTGTGTTATTTTTTAAAAAAAAATCATTGTATTCTAGACGAGCGTTACCAGCAGACTGGTGTGGTCTCCAAGTGTTTGTTAAGATAAATGTAAAGTTAAAGTAAATAATATTCCCTTATACTGTTTTCAATCAGAAGGGTTGATAGTTTTACACTTAGAATAAACATGCAGGGTTGACAGTTTTTGGTTTTGTTGTGGTCTCGCCAAACACAAAAAACATAAAGTTCTCTTTCAAAATTAAAGCACTTATTATAACTATAGAATCATTTATTATGTGTTAAAGCAAGACTATGTCACTGTCGACCAGTTTCATGTTATCTCTACTGGAGCCTGATATCAGTCTTGTAAGAATGAAGAATGAAAAAGATGGAGACAATGATTGGGCTCTGTGATTGACAGCTGGGCTACCCAATAGGAGCCAGGTTTCATTTTCACTTAAGACAGGCTTTCCCAAAGCCTTCAGAATCACTGAAGACCTGATGACTGTTTTCCATGTGTCAATCAAACAAATTATCCAGACATACACACAATCTTTTCAGCTAAACCATCTGTTTTTTCATCAGTGAAACTGTCACATAATAAATATTTACTTTTTCAAAGTAGGGATTGAGATAATGAAACGTCATTTTTTGTAATGTAAAAAGTTGCGACATATTTCCATTTAGGTTCTTCTAAAACCAGCGTAATTACAACCCTTTGAGCACCCAACATGTAGAATAAAGACAGACATACTGCCTGAACCTCAGATAAACATTGGTCTTCCCCTTTCTGAAAACAGAAAACAAGTGGAAACACAGAGCTACATGCTTGTTACCAGTGGGGAAATCAATGCATATATGTATGTATATATGTGTGTGTATTTATATATCTTTATATATATATATATCTATACACACATATATATGTATATACCCACATATATGTATACATATACACAGGCATTTTATAATTTCTAGATATCAGAAAATACTAAGAAATGACTTTGACCTTGGTTGAACAGTGAATATCCTACTGAAACTGTCCAGACGGTGAGAAAAGTGATTATGTTTATGTTGTAAAACATATACAGAAATACGTTCGAGATTTTAGTGAGAAACTAAGAGCAGGCCTTAAAGTAACTTTCAGAATTCTGAGACACGGGTTAAGAACAGTGCTGCTGGTCGAGAACCATAACTAGTGAAATGGACTAGTGCTCTAAGTAAGTAATACTGGAACCATTAAAAATCCTAAATCCCATATGGAGAGCTTTTATTTTGTGACCAGAGCTCAAAAGCCAGTCATGTATCAGAAAAGGTCGTCTAAGAAGGGTACAAAAACCAGACCGGCGAACGACTCGTGTCCATACCTTAAAACTACATCAATGCAACTGTGGCTGATGGTGGCTGAGGTTGGAGGCTGGTATCTGAGGAATCAGGACTGAGTGAGAAGTGATCTGCTGTGGTCTGACCGTGCTGTGGCGTCAAGAGAGCTGCTGGTCCAGAGACTGTTCTGAGCAGAGTGGGCACTCTGGGGAGGTGGAGCAGCTCTCGCATTGTAGTCCGTGGCCGCAGGGCAGGGACGATGAGCCGGACTCGCCACACGTCACACAGCACTGTCTCTGTTTCCTGTACACCACCTACAGGACACACATGGAAAAGAATGGAATAGAATGGGATTAAATAAAAGAGAAACATATTGAATAGAAAAATATCAAATAGCAATTAGAAAATATTACATAAATAATAACATAAATATGTTAGAGATCATATTGCAATAACATGAATAAAAATATCTCTTAATGTAAAACATAAACACACGTATAATCATGTACAAAACCAGCAAATCACCATTACAGACGACCAACTTGGAACTCGGAAAATAAATGCTTCCCATAGTGACAAAAATTACAAGAAAATAATGTGTATTGAGTCAAGCTAATGCCAGTGTTATTTTGACTCAATCAACCTTCTTCCCATGTTGTAATTTTGCAGCGTGATTAACGTCATTATACCTGTTCTACAGCACGTAAACAGCTGCAGAGCTGAGCCTGTAAACTCAGCACTGACTCCATGGGCAGTCTGTGCAGGAGCTGCAGCTGATGCAGTTCTAGATGGGGGTTGTCACCACTCCTTAAGCTCTCCAGCGCCTCCTGCATGAGGGTGACCTGTCTCTGTGCCTCCTCCTCAGCCTGCCTGGCTCTCTCTGCTTCCATGGCTACTCGTGCTGCGTGGGCTCTGGACTCCTCTGCGTCAGCCTTGACTGCAGCCCATGACTGACAGGAAGAAAGTTAAAACTGTCATTCATCCATATTCATATGGAATTCATATTCCAAATAAAACTAAAAACTATGGTATACCTCATAGAAAATCTCACACTTCCCCTACGATCGACCTACCTGAGCTGTGTGTCTCCAGCTGTGCCCCCACTGCTTCAGAGTCCTGTGAGCCTCCTCCAGCTCCTGTTTGAGCCTGGAGGACTCTGCACCAGAGCCTGCTGGGAGCAGAGCAGGAGGGGTCCCTGGAGACCCCTGCCCTGATGGAAAGTGCTCCCAGATATTAGTGCTCATACCATTCAAACCTGGAGATAGCAGAATAAACACCACGAATACACACAAATTCTCACTTTTTGATCTGATGTTACCAAAAAAAAGAAACACTCACAAACCTAAAGAGCTGTGAGATGGACCTAAGAAGCTGCCCTCTGATTGGCCAGGCTGGGACAGGTGAGCAGAGAAGAACGGAGATGTGTGTGGCCTGATGGGAGGAGAGGGTGAAGGTGAGCTGAAGGGAGCTGAGCTGCTGAAGGATCCTGGGATGTTGACAGGAGCAGAACTCTGAAACTGGCTGCCTCCTGCAATCACAAACAAATGTGGAGTTGCTTTTAACGGACTGTGCGTGTGTATGGGTGTGTGTGCGCGTGTTTTCAGGTATATTTTTAATCTTTTTCGGAGGGGTTTTAATATCCAGTAGTCTATATTTCTGACTAATTGTTTGCTATTTTCCAACAACTTCTAATTATCATTTTACTTATTTTCAGCATTTTTTGAAGTGTTTTTCCATAATACCCAGCATTACTCCCACACTGGGAAGACCAGAGGTGCTCTCCAAACTCCTCTCTAACGCTGACACTCCAAAATCATTCAGGTCCAGGTCATCCAGGGCTGATTCTGTAGATAAAACCAGATTTAAAATATTGACTGAACATATCACATGGATTCACTGAGTTCTTCTATTAAATCCTGAGGATTTACCAACTACTGACTCCACCGTCTCACTGGTTGGGTAAAAAGGCAGAGCGTTCGCGTTCATGCCTGACGAGATGCTGGACCCCAAGTGTCCAAGAGGAGCAGGGCTGGGAGGGGTGGCGGCCAGACTGGAGGGGATGCTGGACGACAAACTCAGAGGACTGCCCACTGGTAAAAACACCAACAAGTCCTGAGAAAAACATAGAGGCGATTAGAGGAAATGTTCCTTTAGTTGTAAAGATTCCTGGGAAGAGAAAGTAGTTTTAGAGGGAACATTTTTTAACTTTTGGTTCTTTATGCAGGGGTCTCTCCCATTTGGCTGTTAGCAAGTAAGCTAAATCATTCCTGTTAATGGACAATAATGGCATTAAGGCAACAGAAAAAAATGAATTTTTGTTTTGTTTTGTAGTTTCCCAATTCAAGACATGAGCAATTTTAGCCAAAAGGTTGGTTTGGATTTGTTTGTGGACTCAGATTTAGACTAGATTTAGAAAAAAGCCCATGTAAACAAAAAAATAACATTGTAATGTTTTTTTTCATTATCATGTGTAAAATTAGTTGTTACATTTGTACCTGTTTGCTCTGCATTGATGACATTTCTCTGCTGCGCTGCTCAAGAGCAAAACTCCTCTGTTTATTGTGGTCTTCCCTCTCAAACCCAGGAGCTCTGCAGTAGCCCCCCTCTCCTGCCCACGGAGACAGCGGCTCAGCTGCTCCATTTGAATCTTCACACAATGACAGAACATTACCCAGCAGGCCTTGCTGCTCTGCTACACATGACCCAACAGATGGAGAAAAGAGATCCGAAATGGAACCAGACCCTCCTGGCCCTAAGCTGGGTCCACTGGGGCTTGAAGACACCTCCTGTCCTGAGAGAGGGTCTGGAGGTCTGGGTGTAGGTGGGGAGTTGGGGTTGGGAACAGATGGTTCTTCAGCAACGAAAGGCTCTGGAGTTGTTTAAAGAGAGAAATGCGTTGCAGAATTACAATCTATACTGTTGCAGATCGTGTGAAAGAAAACGATGCGGTGCATTGTGGAAACCTACTTTCAATATGAGCAAAGGCACAAAAGGGTCCCCTGGGGCAGCTGCCACTCTGCTGCATGTCATTACACTTTGTAGATTTGTAGATCTATAAAGGAATAAACGGATCAGGTTATTTCCCCAATACAGTCGTTTTTCCATGACAAGTTGAGGTCCCCAACCAAACGCTGCCTTGTTTCCTGATGTTAGCCCGTACAGTAAGGTAAAGACAGAAACCTCAACTTTCACTAAGTGACTGATGTGAAAGCACAAACCTCTGGGTGGAACTGCTGCTCTGTTCTCGTGTGACAATACTGACATCCCTCCGCTCCCTCACACTTGCTGGGGTCCCCCCACTCCTCGCTCTGTTTAACCACCGGACAGGGCAGAGCTCTAAAGAAGAAAAGGTCACAAATGAATCAAGTGAGTAAAACATTTTCAAAAGATCAACATGTAATTTTTCACACGATATGAAAAAAGAGCACCTGTATTTGTGCTTGTGTGGGCTGCGTCTCCTGTCTTTACTGTTGTGATAGTATGGACAGGCGTAACCTTGACGACAAAGACGCGGCGGTTTCTTACAAAGCTCTGTCTTGTAGTGTGACAGCACATAATTGTTATCTAAAGAATCAGAACACACACAGAAAAACATTTCTGATTAGAGGCACCCAAAACATGCATCATCATGTGTACTGCATATCGAGAACACAATAGAACAGTATAAATATTTTGTCAATATATTGTGAAACACAAAGTGTGAGTGAACTTAAAGCACTTAGACTTAAAGCTGAAAGATGCAAACCCCTGTCCAACAGAGTTTTCAAGTAAACATAAAGAAAACTGTTGTTTTTAAACTCGTTCCACCTCATTTTCGAGAGGAAGCTTATGTATTTCAACAGGAACATGACCCTGTGTTTACCTTGCCAACGTGGTTCCTCGCTCAAGATCTTCTCTATAAGAGCTGTACTTGCTGCTTGTCCCGACTGACTGTCTCCTCCTCCTCCTCCTTCCGAGGATCCTGAGCCTCCTTGTGAATCCATCACTTGCACCTCTCTGTAAAATCCATGAAATAGAAATGAAAACCTCACAAAAACAGCTCAAGGAAACAATCATGCAGGGGAAAACAAATACATGTCAAGTTCTGATTCTTTCAGGTACCTGATATCATAAACCGGGCTGCGCAAGTCATGTGATCCGTGCGCAAAGGCACAGTGGGAGCCATTTTTGCTGCAGTTTCCTTTTGAATCAGTTTCATGGATACAGGATCCTGTCTTATAATAGCGAAGATGGTATCTGCGCTCCGTGTCACCAGCTGTCCTGTGTAGAAATGGACATCTGGAACACAGAGAAACATTATAAGAAAACAGCCAATGACGATACAACTTTCAACATATAATTTGTACAAGTATACGTATAAAAATACATCAACTGCATAGATAGCTCCAAAAATAAGGCAAATATGTGTGCAGCTTTACAAATAAAAATCATATTTCAGAAAGTATGGTGGCACAGCCTGAAAGACTGAAACATCATATTGGCTTTGCATTATTAAATGTGAGTTTGAAGTTATAAAAAAAACTGTAACAAATATTAACAAGCCAAATTGCAACCAAGGGTGAAACAGGAACAGTTATGCATTGTGTCCTGCAAAGCTGCCAATAGCACATGTAAAAGACATAATTTGCATTTACATCCCTTTTGCAGCCTCGGGCGATGCATTATTCTCATGTGCTAATGCACACTCAAGATTACGCAACAGAAGTGTTTTTATGTGATCTTTGTCCTTGCATCTAATTGCACATGTGAGGTGTATTCTCACTCTGACATTCAAGACTTTCACACATCTGTAAAGCACCCTTTATTGTGCAATGCCCTGCACAGTCGTTTGCTTTACTTGAGCAATTTGAATTTCGTATACTCTGAACCGCAAATGGTGAGACAAAGACAATAAAGATTGTCCTGACCATTAAAAAAGAGACCTGACCATTTGAAAATGATCTAACTGATGCAGCTCCTTCAAAAGGCTTTTATTTTATTTTTTATAACTAATTCCTTCCACTGCTGTACATTAACACTAAATTCACTGCACATGTACCAAACAACTTAACAGTAACATCTTTTCAGGAGCCTCAAATTCATATTTGATTATAATTTATTACAAGCTGCATTCTGTAATTACAACTGTTGTCTATCCCACAATATCACATAATTACTTATCTACAAAACAAATACAAAATCAGAATTGCTCACAAAATAAATAAAAGTACACAGATTGATCACTAATTTAGATTGATTGGTTGTGGACCCAATATTTTGTAACACATGGTGTATGGCAGAGTTTAAAAGTGCGTTGAACTCACTCGTCTCCTTCCGGACAGGTGCCCGTTCCCTCATCATATTTGGTGCAGTAAACATCTGGGCTGTAGTTGAACGTCCCATCTCGCTTGCGGATGGGTCTGCGGCGCCTCTGGTTTAGGAAATGCCAGTGAAAACACGAGAAGGGCCTGTGTTGTGTACATTTATGTTGCACAAACAGAGGGCACTGCTCTGTCCTGAACTCCTTCAGATATCTGGGACAAGGCAAAAAAAAGTGTTATATTGGAGTGTAAATACTGTTTATGCTGGTATGTTTACATGATGCTCTGTGTATTCTGCTTAAAAGCATTTTTGAAAATACAAAATTAATTAAAGTTTTGATCGTTATTGTCTTATTTTAATTAGATGCGTCTCCAATAAGTGTCTAAACCTATTTTACATACGCTCTGTTATGGCTTCAAAGGAACCTAAGTATAATCCACTGCCAAAACTGCAGTCTTGCATATACCCCAAACTAAAACTATACTGTGGTACCAGGGTTTATGGGATAACTAATGCTAATAGTAGACGCTAGGCCTGATAACCATATCGTGTCCATGTAAAGCATTATAGCGCTGAGAATGCACGGCTGCTAAATTTCAATATTCGTAACAACTGTTTTTTACAGAAAAAATAATTTTGCATAATTTTGCTGCAAAGATACTGCACGTGAAGCTGTGTTCATTGCAACCTATCGCGCTAACTAGCTACGTACGTGTAATGTTGAGGTTTCTCGGGTTGGACGTTCAACACAGTTGCGGGAGATGTCGAACCCCCTGCGGGTGAGGACGATGAGGGAGGCCCGCTGGACGTCACTGACGACGACGGAGGGGGCTGGGGATGCGTTTTAGACATTTCAACCAGTTTATAGCCAAACAAGAAGAAGCTTGTTTTTAGCTTAAAATGCTAACTATTTTGTTAGCTTCGAAATCCGCATTCTACAGCAATATGAGCATGCGCTAGTTAAACGGAAGCAGAAACGAAGATACAGGCAAAGGCCAGGGAGGATCATGGGATATGGCGTTGCATCATAGCAAATTCCATATGTCCAAAACGTTAATATTTTGGTACAAGTTTTAAAATTAGATGTATTTGTTGTCCACTGTATTGAGAGAACAGAAATAATAATTTTATCAATTACTTTATGAAAGTACATCTACTTGAACGTATGACCCAGTTTTACATTTAGAGATAGAAGTCGTCGTATTGGATTACCACTGGAACTAAATTAAAACTACCCCTCTGCTTTGTGGCAGATACAAGTGCAGTCCAAAACTGATCCCCTCTGTTTGTTCTTTGATGAACAATAACAGACAAAGAGTGACTTTGTAAAAATATCAATAGTATTTGACAGAATGTGTAAAATGAAAATTGGTGGCTCTGTGTCTTTGTGTGTAATTGTGGTCAGCCACACAAGTTTCGTGAAACAAGATGTGCAAAACAATTTGAGATTAACCTTAGTTTTATGCATTACAAAAATGAAGGTTTGTTATGTTTTACATTCAAAATATTCATATACATAGAACTGAGTTTTTTTATTTAGTAGCATGTTCAATACTAAGTTGACCCACAAACATAAGCTTTCTTTTGTTGTTGTTGACCCATCTGAAATGCGACTAAAGTATGTATGAACTCATAAACTCATCAGCAGCTTAAATGTAAAAAAGTAAATGTACATGTAGAATTGTTACAGACAATATTACAAAATATCGGTACAGCGAACACTGCCAATTCCTCCAACAAAGGCAATATTCATTAACATTAAAGTCAAAGATATTTGAAAGATTTTCGAATGTTGCTGAATATAACGAATTAGAAATAAATTGTCCAGTAGTTATTTAGAATGTAGTCTTATTGGTTGTACTTTGTCAGTCCACCAATTGGAGAGAAGTATTTCCAACCATTACGTCACGAGAAAGTACAAATACTCGGCCCGAACCTCCCCCTGCACACACAGTCTTCACTGGGTCAACCAGAGCGGAGTCCAAGCAGATAAGCTGGTCGATTTGAACCGACTGTAAAGGTAAAAATGACGAAAATCGGTGGTAACTTTGTCTTAAAAAGGGAATCAGTTCGTTTAAGTTGTCAGTGTAACCAAAGTAACCGTTTAAAAGCTGTTACCAGAGTACAACAACTTGTCGGTTGGTTAAAAATAGAACAATAGGTGCTGTAAGTGATGGCGGTTAGGGCTAAAACGCTGTTTTTCGACCAGAATGGAGAGCCGGACTACTCGGTTATTAACATGCGCGCCGTTTTTCTTGTTGTAATATCTAGGCTTTACATTTACACTTCCTTGAGGTCGCGATGTAAACATTGACTTAATTTGAGGCGAGCGAGACCGTCTCGCCGTAGGGAGAAGAAGCTGAAAATGGCGATGTTGAAGAACACAGACAAGACTGACTGAACCGGTTCAGGCGCGGCGAGCCTTAACGCCCTCCGTGCAATCAGTTGTAGGGGGCGCGTTTGTCACGCTTACGTGTTCATTCACAAAATTATACACCACGACAAAAATAATGGCGTTGTCTATTTCATTAAACGGCATTAACGGCCGTTTCGTTGTGTTTTCTAGCAGTTATACCTGACGCCTCGCAACAGCTCTAGCGTGGGGGGAGGGGAACTCTAATTATTGTGCTAATGCTAGCTTAGCATGTAGCTTACTAATATGGCGGTTTATGACGGTTGTTGTTGTTTCACTCTGCCTGACTCGTGTGTTCTGTGAGTAACAATTCGCTTATGTTGATTATAAGGTGAACTTTTATTTCCTTTAGTGAAACATGGCTCGTACTAAGCAGACCGCTCGTAAATCTACCGGAGGAAAGGCTCCGAGGAAGCAGCTCGCTACCAAGGCAGCCAGGAAGAGCGCTCCCTCCACCGGAGGAGTGAAGAAGCCCCATCGTTACAGGTTTGTTTCTTAACTGTAGTTATTAAATACATGTCCGACAAATTTTACACAACTACATCAAGGTTGTTTAGATATGTCACCAACAGGGCTTCTAAAATATAGAATTATTTTCTTAATCAAAGACTCGAAGTTTGATGTCCAAAGACTAAGTGTTGGAACCTTGGTAGGTGATATCTTTGGCTTTTTTTTTTTTTTTCTTCGTTTAGGCCCGGAACTGTAGCTCTGAGGGAGATCCGTCGTTACCAGAAGTCCACTGAGCTTCTCATCCGCAAACTGCCATTCCAGCGTCTTGTGAGAGAAATCGCTCAGGACTTCAAGACTGATCTGCGTTTCCAGAGTGCAGCCATTGGAGCTCTTCAGGTGAGTCAAGCAAGCAAATTAATTTATTTGTTTCCCGATGTGGTGAGAATTGAGCCTAATTACATTGTGTTGTTTCTGTAGGAGGCCAGTGAGGCTTACCTGGTGGGTCTGTTTGAGGACACCAACTTGTGCGCCATCCACGCCAAGCGTGTCACCATCATGCCCAAAGACATCCAGCTTGCCCGCAGGATAAGGGGAGAGAGGGCCTAAGCTGCTGTTTGCAGCAATGTCATGACAAATGATCCTATTTATCATACTTAACCATTTTGTGGACATTTTTATTTCTTTGAATTTTTTTTTTTTCTTTTTTGAATTTTGAATTTTGTATTGTATTTTAGAATGAGACAATACATCCATTCCACGAGCCTAAGTACACTTTGGGTAGTTGGAAGTGTTGTGCAGTAGGAATATCTATGTATACCATCATGGGTCATTACTACATGTAACAGCCATCAAACCTCCCGAGTTCTGTGTTGGTATCTTCCGCTGTCTGGGAGTAATTTTAAACAAGGATGAATTCTTCACATCTTCCACGGGGTCCAGGGTGTCTCCACCCATGTCATGTCCAACAAAATGCCAGCATGTCCTGCTCACTGGTTCCCACTGCAGTGTTGCTGAGTTTAACGACCAGATGACGTTCTGCGCCGTGTGACCAGGGGCACGACAGACCCCTCTGTATTTTTCTGGACTGCTTTTTATGCATTTTCCAACATAAAATCTTGGCAGCTACATTTAATACTATTTATGAAATGTTGTCACATGTCTTTCTATTAAAGGTCTTTATGAGTAGCAAGATCTGTGTACTGTGACTGACTATGGTGCGAGGCAGTGTGTTGTCTTATTTACATTTATTACAATGGTCATGAAGCAGCTTTGTTATACAAACCACTCTGTGTGCTTGAAACCTGTAGCTGTAAGAAACAAAAACATAAAATGTGTATTTGAAGATAAGACGACAAAAAAACAGTGGGAAATGTAATCTCACCGATACGGCAGACGATGGCTTCACACTCTCTCAGGTTGCTGGCGTGGAAACCGACACAGCTGAAGCCTGATGACTGAGGAGTTTCTGGGCAGTCTCTGTGAACACAGCCAATCACATGCTTAGATGACATCTGGATGTAGCCAATGACAAGAGGGCTGTTTCGAGTTGCATCAGTGATGTCTCTAAAGGGGTGTGACCAAAACTGCAGCAGGCCTGGATTAACACGAGCGTGTGAAGGCTGGCTGATAGAATTGTTGTCCTTCATTAACCTTTGTTTTTTTTATTGCTCTTAACACTAATCCCATGATTTATTAGAAGTGATAATGTGTCACTCACCCCACACAGAAGGCAAATATGGTGTAGTCTGGTTGACTGTATCTTCCCACACAGGAGATCTCTGGATAGTGATGCTCCAGCAGTTCCTTCAGAAAAGAACAAACAGGACATCCCTTTACAAAAGAATACAGGTTGCTAAACCTAACCGGATGTTGGCCAATAGAACTGCATATGCTTGCATAATTCTGAAACTTCCATGTGGACTGAAATTTAATTGAATAAATGACATGAAAAAAAAACCCATAAATGACCACCATGTCAAAACAAATGTGCTTCTATAATGCAATCTTGTTTACCAAATGTTTACCAAATCCATTTGGAGTCAAAGTAAATTTCGTAAAACATGGCACCATCTAGTGGTGGAGATAAAGATCGCTCACTATATTCCAAATCAAGTACATATACATGCACATATTATTCCAAAGGCCAGTGTCTTCATTTTTGCTTCAAAAAAGAAATACAAAAAATACATAATAGATAACATTTTCAAAAAAAAATACCATAAATCTTTCACATGTCACCTAAGCAAAGCTGGACAAAAGTGGTCTTAAATTCTACCATGTGAGGAGGAGATTAAATACTTCCAATAATTAGCTGGTTAGAATAAATGACCTAATAAATGGAGCAGTACGTGTAGATCCACTCACCACTTTGCTGTGTTTGTCTGTGCACGTCACGTGTGTTTCCTTCAAATCCAAGAGCGCTTCCTGCAGTACAGACGGAAACACGAATCAGGCAGATGTTGTAGAAGAACCACACAGGGTTTAGAGGTTAAGGATAAGTGGTTTTATTACCTTGCTTGGCAAGTTCTTTTGCAGCACCAGTGTGATTGCCTGGTGCAACACCTCCTTCCCTCCAAACTTAAACCAATGACATCCAGTGTTATTACACTCAGTCCAACTGTAAATCATCAGACGTGTGTGAAAATGTGAAAGAAAGCGATACTTACCATTCCAATGTTGGCCTTTCCCAAATATTGCACAATATATACAATCCTGAAACAGGAACACAGATCAGAAACCTGTTGTTGGAGATTATAATAAATGACAGGTGCAAACATCCAACTTGCCTTCCTTCTTTAAGGCACTGTGACGTAGATGGTTTCAGGTCCTGAGGGCCAGACTGTGGAGAGGGAAGAGGGGTCAGCTGCAGCGTGGGGTTTTCTGTCCTCAGGGCGCGCAGGTGTTTGACAATGGGCCGGTACATGGTTCCATCGTGGGCTCGCCATCGTAGGATACGGATGTAGAGTGGGCAGCCCTTGAGCCGTGAAAGAACCACACCTGCCTGAGGATGTCAGAACACAAGAGTAAACATTTTAGAGAGTGATGTGTTTCTTTTGAACTCTGCAAACAGTCAGGTTCTCAAGGGTGGGACGACCAACTGTCAGCAAACTGGCAGCAGCGTGTTCTGTTCCATAAACAACAGCACAGAAGGCATGTCTCAACCTCAAGTTTGAGGTTTCTGGGCTTGTTTTGCAGCAAACAAACAAAACTCTAGCTAAATCTACTCACTTGTCCACATTTTGAATTCCTCAGCGACGTCCCGTTGATTTCATCAATAATGTCTCCTGGGAGCACAAACTTATCGGCATAGGCCTGACTGCCAGGCATCAGCTCCAGGACAAAGACCCGACCACTAAGATACCTGGGGGACAGACAGAGGGGTGTGAGGCTGGAGGGAACTACAATTTTAGGACCTCTACCTGAAAGATGCAAACCTTAGAACCACGCCGACCTCCCGACAGGGCACCACCTCGTACACGTCACACACCTGTAGAGGCAGGAGCAACAGGAAACAGCTGGATTAAGGAGATGTTTAGTTCCATCCCTGCAGTTGAACACTGAAAGTCAAAGACTCTAAAAATGAGCAGAGAGCTGACTACCTGCTGGTCCAGAAGAGCTAAAAAAGAGCTAAAGCACTGACCATTAGCCAAAGCGGTAATTGCTAAAAGGTTGCCAAAAATAGACTAAAATGAGGCACTTTGCGCAGATGAATGTACCTTTTAGCAGTACATGAACAATGTACTATTCTTCCTAAGATAAAGTAATTACAGGATAAGTGTTTCCTGTAGTTGAGTTTGGTGTATAAAGGTTGTTTTTGTCTCTAGTTCGTAAAAATAGCCCTTATTACCTGCTCTGTCAAATTTGACATTTGAAAATTATGAGTGTCAGGAACTCCTGTATTTTGACTTTTGAGTTATTTGACCTTCTGTTCCAGCCGAAAAACATATTTGTCATCTTTAAAAATGTCGATTCATCTTGATTTATCCTTTGTGATGATTAATCAGATTAAAAATGTACAATCTTTGACACCACTTGTTGATGTGTAAATACATAAAGGAGAAAATACAGCAAAGATGTTGCAGTAGTGAAGTGATAATTGTCCTTTCTTACCGGTAGCAGCCAGCTCTCATCTAAAAAACTGCAGTTCTGTGAAAAGAATATAAGAGTTTGATTTCAGTGTAGAGTACATATATATTTAAAAGCAGGTTCTTCTTTTTGTCAGGAGTAGTTTGGTTTGTGCTCCGACCTCCATGTCCATTTGAAACTCCATCTGTGACAGGACAAGCAGCAGCGACATGAAAGGTTCTACAAGAAGGAGATCGGAGGTTAATATCACAACCAGCTTCACACTGAATGAATTTAATTCCCCTGACATCTGCTGTAAGCCTGCTTTCCTCTAAATAGGATCAACATTTAGGAGGCATAAAAACAACAGTGGCTACAAGGATTATTCAAATGATGGAGGAACACTTACCCACAAACTCCTCGTTTCTGAGGATTGATGAGTTCGGGCAGTACCACTGGAAGAGAGAGGAACCATAAGAACCATCGCCTGTCCGCTTGGACAAGTTTGAACATGTTTCCAGAGTCAGTAAAACATTTCTGACCTCCAGGACTCTGGGCGTGTGCAGCAGGTGTTTGATGAACTGTGGCAGCGCCCCGCGGCTCAGGGCCAGTCTCAGCAGGTATCGACCTCGACCCTGGGCCGACAGCAGCTTCTTACAACCTCTGGTCTGCTCCACGGCCAAGGACAGAGCTGAGAGTCTACACACACACACACACACACACACAATGTTACGCAGGTGTTACAGTGTCAGGACAGGGTGTTTCATTGTTGTTAATGGTACCTGGTACAGGTGTCATGGTGTGGCAGCTGCTCAAAACAGTGCCAGTAATCTCTGTTCACCAGACTGAGAACTGGTTCTGGTTGGGAAATCAAAAATAAAAATGATAAACATATATTCTCTCATAACGTTTTCATATAGTCATCAATGTTTCAAATAATTTTCAGTCATTTTTGGACATCCTTTACCTTAGGCCCATCGAGTAGCTATCAAATGTCTAATGACTACATCTTTAGCATTTCAGGTGTTTTCACACAGCTCAAAGCTACTCTTTCATAGCAAAATGCTAGAGTAGCATAGCAGTAGTCTTGTGGTGCAGCAACATAATGTAGATTTCTCTAACTTGTTTGTTTTGTTTTTGTCATTTTTCCTGTTTTTGTGTCTTGGACTAGCTTCAGTCACTGTACATTTGGCTGTAATTTGACCAATTTGCTACAGCCCTAGTGAACCTTTAACTGTTTTGCTAACATTTGCAAACAGTGGTTCCAAAACCCCTACGGGTGAATGGAATTACTTTAGTTTTTTATATTGTTTCCTTAATGTGTATGTAGATGCCTGGTGTCTTTGGTGTAGCTGTGCAGGGGTTAATGACCTACACTATGTTTAGACTAGCAACGGAGTGCCTATGCCTGCAGAGAACTGTTCTTATGCTTTTCTGTGTTTCTGTGTAATAATGCTGTGGATACAGATATACTGACGTTGGAGCCCCTTCCTGAGCACCAGCTCCAGCAGCTCACAGCAGGAGGAGAGATGAGGGTTGGTGTCGGTCACCGAGGCTCCATCAGACTGAAGGTTCAGAACACACACTGGAGGAGGAGACCACGAACAACAATAATGACATCAACAACGTCAACAGTGGCGACAACTACTACTGAACATCTGTCATCAGCTCTACTTCATATGTCAGGAGACCGGAGGACTCAGGAGACCAGGACTCGGGAGACCAGCGGACTGGTCTGATGCCTGACACCAGACGTATTTAAATGTGTACAACAAAAATGGAACGAGGCCAATGATATGAGAATATAAAGAGACGACGATAAATAACGGCAATGTTTTCAGGTGATCGTTACCTTTCAGTGTACCGAGCAGAGGGTGTTTAGGAGCCATGTTCCCCGAGCAGCTGCGATCTACTGCTACTGACACGCGCACTCACACGCACGCACACGCACAAAAACACAAACACACGGAAGTGTGTGAGTCCGCCTAACTACACAACATGCCTGAACAGACAGTTGTGTGCGCGTGTGCTTTGTGTACAGTGACACCTGCTGTCCTATATCGGTAGTGCATTTAAGGAAAATATTTAAGTCGTATGTTATTTTGAAGCAAAGAAATAGAGTATGTCTTTAAATATTTAAGGATAACTTCCAACTAACAAAATAACCAATTAACTAAGTAACTAACTCACTCCCTATTTGGTTAATACCCCTCTTATAGTATGCTAATAGTAATATCAGTACTTTTCCTTTTATATATTATTATTATTATTATCTTACCTAGGTCGGTATAGATGTACCTTTGACGCCCTCCTATGGCTATGATGTCATACTGCAAGCTGCTGGCAAGGCAATAAGAACGCTCACTGCTCGCTGCTGCCGCAGTTCTGTGATGAAGCTTCTCATCAGCAGCAGCAGCAGGAGGAGAAGAGGAGCAGCGATCACTGAGTCCACAAGCAAACGGAGCAGGAGGAAACATCACAGAGGAACTGAGGAGGAGAAAGAGGAGAAGTTGATCTACGGAAGAGATACGATCATTCTTTAAAGAAAAGGTCAGAGTTTTTGCTTTTCTCCTAAATTGCAATTAAATAATGTGTGTTGTCTGTGTTACTCATATTGGTCAAATTTAATATAAGGCTGTTTTTGCTGCTGTGGCCATTTCTTGTGGATTCATTTATTTATTTACATCAACATTTGCTCTGAGCTCATTGCTCTTGTCTTTTCAAATGTTGGTTTAGAGTCAGTTTTGGTGCATTAGTGATTGAAGCTGAAAAAAGAAGTCATACAATCATGGTTGTTGTGCAGAAGCCATACTTTATGGTTGAACTGGTTTTAAAAATTTGTAATGACATAAAATTGCAACCCTATAATTAAATGTACAGTAAGTTAATTTGAATTACGTGTAGAGGTGGTGTTTGTGTTGGTGAGAAACCAAATAATGGATCAAGAAGACGATTACCTTCAATAAAATTTCTGTTCAAACCCACATTAATGACACCAAATATGGGCAATGCACCGGGAATCTACAATCATGGTCTGGTGATGAAAATGTACTGGTAACATCATGACTATGTGAGGCCATAGGTATTTGTTTGGGTGCGGACAAAGGTTTTGTGCGTCGCTACTAAATATAGAAACCCTCCACCAGGGTTTGAAAACAAACAGCACCAGTGGTAATCCAGGATTTGATGTAATCTCCTCTTCTCCTCACCTCTTAAACACACACACACACACACACACACACACAGACATACAGACACTGATCAATAAATTAGTCAAAAACATTTTCCGATGCTGAAGAACCAGTAGAACCCGCTGTCTAATTAATGCAGAGAAGTATTTGGACCTAGTTAAGGAGTTAACGGATGGACTCAGTCTGTCCATGTCCCTGTTCTGTCTCGGCACGTGTCTTTGGACTCATGTTGACATTAATGACCCTCAGTGCTTAGGACTTGGAGCTCACGTGGTCAACACGCGACATGTAAAACCCTGGACCTGTCAATACTTCATGTGGTTTGTACCTGAAACTTTTATCACCGTGTAGTACTTCACCCTCAAAGGAAGGTTTCCTTGAAAAAGTACTTTAAAAATACTGTGGCTACAAATCAAAGATCCATTATATAAGTAGACAAAAATATTTTTTTAGAAATTGCACCCAATTTCTCCAGCCCAAAAATATGAATTCAGGTATTTTTTGTAAACGTAGTTTTTATCAGAGGAACAGACGTTAACCCAATGTTGACCAGATCATTTGACTGCTCTGGTGTTCAGGGGTCTGCAGCTCTAGGGGCCACACGTGGACTAGACTTCCTCCTCTGGATGCCAATTTGCAGTTCCACAGGTTAACTAATGATAGAAGTTTTGAGTGACTACTTCTGACAGATAAATATAATTAGTTATTATTGACCAACAGCCATATCTTCACTGCCACGTGTGATTGATGAATTATAAAACTGACCATTGTGGGTCAGGATCAGTGGGTGACTCTCAATCTCGACCTCTTTTCATCTTAACGCCTTAATTTATTCTCTTCATTCCCTGAAAAGTCGATATCCCAGCTTCCTTGGCTGGAGCTCCTCAGAACGTCAGTGTGGCGTTCAGGGACGTACTGCTGAATCAACAGCAGCTCGGTCCAACACCCCTCCACCCACAAACCCCACGTCCGCAGTGTGTTAAAACTGGTCCACGCTGCTGTCTAACCTCTGCTCGGGGGAATTCGTTTCCCACTTCAAGGCCGTGATGAAGACACACACACACACACACACACACCTGAGCAGCAGAAAATCCTGAGAGTCTGCAATTTTTCGTTCTGCCTCGTCTGCAATGGTACTCTCTTTGTTGATTACTGTGTAGATTTGTGTTTTCATAGTAGGTGAGAAAATCTTACTCCATAAAACAACTCAACACCACAACTTTCTAGTGGCCTTTGGCGTCTTTTATCATTTCGATGGCTGTTTAACTAGTAACCATTAGCTATTTCTGGGCTAATATTTAGCTAAAGTTATCTTTACTGTAAGTTGTACCTTTATTAGCTTAAATGTCATATTGGTCTATTTAAGGGTTATCAGTTGCTTATGCTGCTATAAGCTACAGTATATTTGCGAATTTTTAGCCAGTTTGTCATCAACCGTTAGTTAAGTTTTATAATATGACGTTATTTCTGCGTAACATCTAGCTATTAGCTCTAAGATAATCTTATTATATATAGTTTTAAACAGTTAGCAGTTTGTCATTACTTGAGAGAGAGAGAGAGAGAGAGAGAGAGAGAGAGTTAGGTTTTCCATCACTGTGCGTCTTTCTCAGCCCATTAGTTCAGTTGTACTCTGATCTAAAGGTGAGGAAATCTCCCCCCACCCCCCGCCTCCCCTTTCCACTTGGCTGATGTATTTTTATTTTGTTTTTTAAAGATGACATTACAGTGATTCAACTTCTCAGCATTTGCATGGCCCCATCCATTTATACCATATAGCCACAACCACTGAATGAAATGCAGCCCTAAACCAAGACAGAGCCGTCAGCGTATTTCTCTCAGGAGTTCCACACAGATCCTACGTATTCCTAATTTTAGGGATGATTGTTTTTTCCAGGTGACTGATCTTGTCTATTAACATAAAATAATGTTAGCTGTTAGCTTTGTTTCTTCCCAAATGTTCTAACGTTATACTGAATTGTCCAACACCAAATAAGACGTCATCGGTGGGTTAACATCAGTTAATGCTAAAAAGGAAAACACGTCTCCAACGGAGCAGGGCCAGTTAGCTTTGACATCTGTGTCCTCCAAAGAAGTCCCAGTACTTTTATTTAGAACACAGTCCCTGCAGGGGAGGCATATAGCACTCCTGGCACTACCTCAAGTTTCTGGTACCATTTCCAGTGTTTAAAGATGTCTCTTAAAGATGATGAGCTCCTCTGTGATTTTCAGCAGACCAGAGTCCAGTGGTGGTTCTCTGTCTCTCTCTTCACACACAAAGTATGTCATAAAAGAGTGATTTCTGCCCCCTCATGGATTTGTGTGGGGGCAACAGCAGCACAGTCAGCTGCAGCTCTGACAGGGAGGGAGCCAGGGCTGGCCACCCAGCTCAAGCTTCTTATTATGGCACCACAGGGCTTTGGCCACACTGCAGCTGCCACCATGATGAAGGAGTGTCTCCAGTTCCTCATTGAACCGGCCAAAAAGCTCAAGATCCGACTCAAGGTACAGACACATCTGTGTGTATGTTTCTGCCACAGTCAACGTTGGTAAAAATGTGCTTCAAAAAGCCCGTGCTTGATCCTCTGTGCTGCAGGAGTCACGTAAAAAAGTCAGACATGAGAAGAAGGAGCCGCTGCAGGAGAGTCAGCTATTCATCATGGAATTAGCTCGAGAACTCAACAAAATCTGCCAGGTTTCTCTACCTCTCAAAACTTTAAAGTACCACAGGGAATAGGAGATTAGTAAACACATATTTGTTGTTATTTAAAGCACCTGACATACAATTTCAAAAATGTTTTTTCTTTGCATCTCTAAAATATATATTGACTTGTAAAGTAAAACAATTTAGCCCAGTCACAGTTATTATAGAAGTAATTTCTTCTTAACCTTTGACCCCACCGTATCATCTTTGTGACCTGTTATCTCACTTTCTCATTCCAGAGGTCAAACATCCTGGCCCACATCTGGACCAATGAAGACATCTGGCCTGCCAGCATGTGTCGGGACTTTATCATGGAATGGGCTGCAGTCATAGAGAAAAGAGTCCAGGTAGAAGAATACACTCTGTAGATTACAGTTAGCTTCGATGTGTGGCTTCTGAAATATTGCCAAGAGCTACTCATGCTGTGTAACATTGATTTTCATGGCTCATTTCAAACAAACTCAACATTTATAATATGTAACTGTCTACCTGTCATATTTTGTACTCAAACATCACCAACATATTATATGTTATTTATTTATGTATTTATTAATATTATTTGTCAGTGTGGTAGTCCACAAAGAGCATCCAGGTTGTCTTGTGCATTGCTGAAAATTGACCAAATAAACTGGTTTTATTTTTAATTTCCAGCATAATTACGCCCTCTTGTGGTCAAAATAGCAAAACCCACTGCACTCAACAAGTGTTTGACAATCGTCATGACAGATATAAGCGCAGCGTTCAGGCTGTGCCCTAGCGATATAAAATAGTTGCAAAATTATTAAAGGTTATTACGTTGCCTGCTTTGAATGTGATCTTTCTCCAACAGCCAAGAATCATCACATCTGGCCTGCAGTACAACAAGCCGGAGAAGAAAGACTGGAAAGGTCACCTCCTCTGTATACTGGAGACCGGAGGAGAGCACGACATGGGACCTCCCAAAAGGGTCATCATGGACTGGGCACGAGAGATTAAAAGCAGGCCTGAGGTAAATACAGAGTGGCACCAGTATTTTATCCAGGTTCTTCTAACAGCTTGCTGATGTTCAGGTTAAACCACTTAACCACTAAACCACAGGCATTTCTAGACTTACCTCTTCCTCCAGAGTCCAGGGAACTGAAGCTGCATTTCCATTTAAAGTATTTCATTCTTTTCAACTTTTTCATAAATAAAAAAGTGCATTTGCTTACTGCAAATGGAACTCATGAACATTACTACACAAGCACTAATTTCAGTGCAAAGGTAAGGTAGAGTTGTTGAAGGACACAGGACTTACCATGTACTGGAGGGTGAACCTGTGTTCAAGGTGCAGCCAAACACTTGAGGATTCCACCACAGAAACAGACTTTGACAGGAATTGTGCACAAATCCAACCCCAAGAACCAAATCTTTACCTGCTGGATGCTGTTTTCAAACAACATGAAGTATTTTCTTCTTCTTTGAAGATGTAAAGCAAACCTTTTATGTTCTTCCCACTCTCCACTGCCCTCCTGTGGCCACAGCAGGCTGGCAACATCAGCTGAATAATGTTCTTTTTTTGACTCTTTGGCTCTGGATCGTGAAGTTGAACCTAATCACCCTATTTTCACTTCCTCTGTACTTGCCTTCTATTATTCTGATGTTAAGTTAAATTTGGACTTGCTCTTGCTCAAAGGGTTAAAGTCCTAATGTGGTCTGTGCAGCCCACTGTTTGGCCTGGTGAGCCCGTGCTCATGGTTCTGGATGACCTGGAGTTCCAGTGGAAGAGGGGACGTCTCCCCAACCTTCTTCACGCCATGGAGCTGGTCATGCTGGTGGTCTTGAACGCCGAGGCCCCAGTTCAGGTCTGTTCATGCTCTGTGGTCCATCTCAGTGTTTGGTTTTGCAGTCACATGAATTACTTTGGCTCCACTGGAAGCTGTGGCTTCCAACAGGAAACAAATCTGTGGATGGGTTTAAAAATAATTGAGAGGCGTTATATAATTGTTCCACCGCTTTGTGTTTGTGTGTGCGTGTAGGTGGACGTGACAAAACAGTGGCTGGTGTGGAAGCAGAGGAATCAGAGGACTGGTAAGTGTGTGAGGGTGTGAAATGTATGAAACACACCACTTAACATGGACCAGTTAGTCTGTCACTGCTGACACAGGTCAAAGGTTTCAGTAATACTTGCTGAGTCACTTCTCTGATGGCTTTTTCTGGCAGATGCTGTTCGCTACATCCCTCATGGTGGTGAGTGAACATCCTGTTTCATAGACTCTACCTGGTGCAATCATTATATCTGAGATCCAGTGGATTTATGGGAACCAACATCATCATATAAACAGTCCATATGTGCTGCTGTCAATCTGGATTTTAGTCCAAATGTAATGGAACATTGTCATTTATCACATTTTTTTTGTCCTTTGTCTTCCAAGTGTGGAACTGGATCTGCGAGGCTGCAGGTATGAATAAGACACTTATCCTGACAAAGTTTCCGTCCATTTCTTGTTCTGGTCTTTTAACATTTTTAATGATGTCCACAGAGGACGTCATTCTGGACACAGACTCAGCCAATCCAGACCTGCTCATCTCACCTGAGGAAAAGCGCATGCGCTGTGGCCTGGACCGCCGTGAAGCCCCTTGGTGTCGACAGCGCTTCAGCGGCTGGTGGTGCGCTGTGGGCCAGGAAGGCTACACCTCTGGACGTCACTACTGGGAGGTGGAGGTGGGGGATCGGGACTGGAGGCTGGGGGTGGCGAAGGCATCTGCCATAAGGAATGGCTTCCGTTCCCTCAACACAGACACAGGTTACCTGAGCCTGCGACTGGAGAGGGGGATGGAGTTGAAGGCTCTGACCGTGCCCACCTCACCACTGCCTCCCAGCCTGGTGCCCAGGAAGGTCGGGGTGTATTTGGACTATGAGCAGGGTCAGCTGTCCTTCTACGACGTGGAGAAGCGGTCTCACATCTACACCTTCAATGAGACGTTCAAAGAGAAAGTGTTCCCACTGTTTGGGACAGTGGAGGTGGTTAAAGATCTGGTGATCAGGCCTGCAGATGTCCGACAGCCGTGTCTGTGCACCGGGCCCTGCCTCTGGACCTGATCGGCTCGTCTGAACCAAACCACAGCCCAGCCAGCATGTCTTTATGAGCCCCGCCATGTTTGAGCGACATGAGTACAAAGACAAATGCTAATTGACTTTGTCCCAATTTGTGGTCCGCAGCTCACGTAGGCTGCATTTGTCAGTCTCTGAAGATAACATGACCTGTCCCACTTTATCACAGAATGCAGCCTCACCTTTGCCCACAGCTGCTTTAAAGGAAGTGCAATGTAAACAGCAGATTCTGATGCCATTTAGATGAAAATAAGCACTAAATGCATGGCACCAATTAGTGGACGCAGTGTTTGGCAGATGTTGTCAGATGTTGTCAGAAGTTGAGGATTATGATTTCCGGACTTCATCGATAGAATTCATGGTCCGATTAATAAATCCTGATCCCATTTGGAAGAAAATAAGTGATAAAGCATGGCAAACAAGTACGTGCTTTTTCCTTAGAAGCATTTCATTCCATTTAAATACACATTTTACTTCTCTCGTCTTAGAGCTTCTTCATTTCTGACGAATGGAAACTCCAGGTTTGTAGTTAAACACCTGATTAATGACTGTTTATGGATAAAGTACAGTTATAAACACAGGACGCCTCCTAGATGAGAGGTATAAAAGTCAAACAAGAAAATCCATCTTCTTATTTCTTAACTTCTAAAAACGCTAACATTTATTCCAATTACTGTTCTGTGTTTTATAACACGGGATGCTGCTGGTCAAATCATCCCTTATCTTTAAAACACGTCTCTATTCTGCATTTAGAACCCAGGTTTGTTTGTCCTCCAGACTCTAGGTTCTACATCCTTTCCTTTTTCGAAAACAGAAGACAGATTTGATGCATGTTTCAACGTGAATCCTTTCTGTGTCGGGGCATGAGCTGCTCTCACTCCCTGTGTTTTGTTTTGACAGCTTTGGTTTTTGCATGCTGGATCAATTATTTATGATTCTAAATCTAAATAAATAAATATACCTTCATTGACGACTGTTCCTGGACTTTTACACATCAATTTGTACAGATTCCTTTTTTAGTAAAAGAGAAAATGTTTATTTCAAAATACTTAAGTGCAACAGAACAAAGCGACAAGACAATGGTCGACCGTAAAGGCCCGGTTTGTCAAATTCAAAATTAATTACTTCCCCTTTCATATTTTACTACCATTTTTTAAAAACCAGTTTGTTGCAATTTCTTACCTCTAGATGGTGCTAAATTCAACACACTGGTCACTTCAGTGAACAAAGTGCAGAACGTTTTGTATTTTTGGTGTAAAAGTGGTTCCACTTGTCTGTGCTGCATCTTCTTGATCAAAATATTTCATCACAACACACACAAAAAACAAGCCCAGAAAGCAGTAGAACATGCATGTATGCAGATACAATCATCCTGTCTGTACAAAACCAAGATGTCTTTAAAATGTTAACTTTATGGCCAAAATGTAAATTGCAAAAGGAAACATTAGCTGGTAGTGGGGTGGAATCTCAGAGAATCGAATCGTCTGTTTAAGGCGACGTTTCTCTTGTATTATTATTCAAAAACCAAGTGTTAGTTCTTTTAAGGTTAACGTGATATATTTTTTTAAAGTGTATTTAACACCTGAAGATAACTTCACCACACTTTAATACAATACATATCTATGCACAAATACAGCAACGTAATATATTTTGTTATTCAGAACTGGGCCACATTAGTCAGAATGCAGCTTTTACAGCCATAGATTGTTTATAAGAAGTGGAATTAGCTTAAGAATAGATCAACAGTAGCCATGTTTGAATTTATGGGTAACTGAGGAAAGACTGACAGATGAAGGACAGATACCAGTAGGAACGGTCAAGTTTGGAGTACTGACCTTGCTTAAGCCCCACTGTGTGTTTTTACCAGATTGACCAACTGATGTAAGAAAAGAAACAAAACAAAAAACAAAAATAGAAATTGAACTTTCACAAACAACAATAAGTGACGTGGATGTTGATTTAAACCTTGTGGACAGTAACAGACATAAATCTACAACACCTCCTGCTTTATTTACACTTTTCATGGCATTTTCTGGTTTTTGGCTGCAAACTCTCATATAAAAAATACACTCACTGCGGTCGAGAGTAAAAAAAAATCTATTTTAAAACTTTGGACACCTCAGGGGTGCTTTATTCTATCTTATGATTCATAAAACATCTTCTTTGTGACGGTCGCTCCTCCGATGACCTCCCTTTGAACCACCTCCTTGGTGATTTGACGGGTCACCATGCCGCTGGTCTCCGTGTGCTGCGTGGTCATCATCATGCCGTCTGTTTCAGAAAACAACAGAGTCATCATCAAACGTTAACACTTGTCAACAAAGTGAAAGCTAATGCTAAAGCTAAAGCTATACCTGAAAAGAAAGGGTCGCTGTGCATAGCGTGCGAGATGTTGGTCCGTGTGGTCACTTCTGTCGGCATGTGGAAAACATCCCTTCTTGTCATTGATTTGTTGTTGTACTGAGACATTGCACCTGCAGAGGGCAGTAAGGAGTTAATTATTTTTCTTTCTGGCGTACTTTTAGACTTACAGGTATATTTTATTCTGATACGTAAAAATATTTTTTTTTGCAAATCTTGTTTTTATCCAGTTACCCAGAAAAAATATTTTGCTAGCGTCATTTTTTTAATCAATATTTTGCCATATTTTAGTAAACTTGTTGCTATTTTTGACACTAATTGGTTACTTCCTGTGCTAGTTAATTTCTTCATTGTTTCCTGCACTGACCCTGTAGAGTTTAATGTGTTGTGTAATGTGAGTTTAAAATATTTTTACCTCCATCTTGTGACTCGATGGTGATGATGCCCTCTCTCTCTGGTCCGAAGCCCTGTGTGGTCCGGGCCTGAACTTTGAACTTGTAGGGAACGTTCTCCGTCAGGTTGGGGACGGTGAGGCTGGTCTCAGTGCTGTCACCGTTCACCTGGAAGGATCGCATGTCATCTGCGAAAACAAACCCGAAAAATAAAAGTGTGGAAAAGACAAGAATAATAAAAAAAACCAACCAAACAGCACTGAGTTCTTACCTCCACCGTGCAGCTGCTCACAGGTGACCACGTAGCCCAGGATGTCGCCGTTGGGTTTGCGAGGTTTCTCCCAACTGAGCTGCAGGGAATCGGGGCTCAGAGCGGTGAAGACCAGAGGTCCTGGTGCACTGGGCGTGCTCAGAGTGAAGGGTGAACCTGCAGTGACAGAACATCAGAACATCTGAGTCAGGACAAAGTCAATGCTCCTGTGAGTTAGACTGTGACCAGGACCAGAACCAGTACCTGGCATCGGACTGAGGGGACTCTTGGGGTCAACGGCAGACTCGATGGTGATGACTCCTTCTCTTTCAGGGCCCCAGCCTTCTTGACTCTGAGCCTTCACCTTGAATAGGTAGGAGTGGTTGGGCAGCAGGTCCGTGATGATGACTGAGTTCTCAGCTGGGTTTGTTATGTTCATGCGTTTGACTTCACCTAGAGGAGAAGACAGGTTTAACATCGCCTCGTGCATTTCTTATTTAACAGTTAATTTTCTTATATTTGATATAATTATCAGAACTAACAACAGAAATATATTTTCAAATAAAGTCACAAAAAAAACAACAACAACAACCCAGCACTGGTGCCTTTGCTGTCATACAACAAAGTCACTGATCACAACGTTCTAAACCCATCACTGGGCGGGTGTGACTGTGATAAAGTCTAATGTAACTACAATATGAGGTTAAACACTTGTTTGCTAACAGCAAAACACAGGCTCCATTAGGTTGAATACTTAGAGAACAGCTTTTACCTCCATTGATCAGCTGATAGAGGACACAGTAACCCAGGATGTCTTTGTCACAGTGGGGTTCCTGCCAGCTGACCTTGAGGGCTGTGGGGCCCAGAGCAGAGAAGACCAGTCTGCTGGGGGTGTCAGGGACACCAGGGTTGAGTCGGGCATCTGATGGGCGAGACAGAGAAGAGGGGGGAGAATGAACACCAAGTCAAGCTGAGGAAGCTATACACTCTAAAACACTTATTCCTGTGGCCCACAGTCAGCTGACCAGCAGAAATTGTTGTCTGGAAAACGCGGCTCGGACTTCGGTGCCTGTGAATCCCTAACTTTATAACAAAGCAAATGTCCACTCCTTGGCTCAAAGTTCACATTAGAATAAATGTGTTAAAGAACAACATTTATATCCATTTTTTATTTGAATTTAGGCCATTTAGGTCTTTTATTTTAGTAGGTATTTTATTGTTGTTTTCTATAAAAACAACAGTTTTAAATATGACAATATAACGTCTTATAACTCGACCAACTAGAACAAATTGACCTTTGACACATTGAGAAATTCTGCACGGACATGTGGCGTCTCCATGTCACCCCGGCAGACACAGACAGTGTCAGTTGCAGACTCACCGTGGAGAACCCTGTCCAGATTATACAGGGCTTCATTGACGTCTGTAGACTGGGTCCTGGCCCTTGAACCCTGAGACAGGTTGTAGCTGAACTGGCTCTGAGAGCTGCTCTGCATCCCAGTGTAGCCGTACCCACCTGCTGGCGCATTCAATGGAAAGTGAAGCCAAAGAGGAACAGGAGGATGGAAAAGGCAAAGTACGAGGAGAAGGAAGGCCAGAGGAGAGGGGGAAGAAAAGGGGGAGGAGGGGAGAAACAGCGATAGTCAGCATAGCTTCTGCAAAAGTCTCTGTGGATAAGCCTGCTGTGCAGCCAACAACCCCAACGCTGCTAAACCAAAGCTGTCGGCTCCATGCATCTTAAACTGGTTCTTTCAGAATAAAAGCCTTTCTTTGACCAAACCCGATTCCTATTATTCATTCAAATTAATACAAGCAGCTAAACATACCCAGATCTGCAAACTTGGCAGATAAATCTCCCATGACAATGGAGTCACGGATGTTCTCGTCTGTGTAGCCTCTGTTCTCCGAGCGCTTCCTCATGATGACGTCCGTTGTTTGGACTCCACCACCAATCATACGAGTGGTCCCTGTGACATCATCAGCAGTTAGAGAAATGATTAGAAAAAAAACTACTGGGAGCCTTTTTTCCAACGTCAGCTGGTGTCCCTCTCACCTGGTCCAGACATGTAGGTGGTTTCTGTGGTGAAGGAGCTGTTTCCTCCTCTGTAGTTGGAGCTCAGCGTGGACATGGGAGAAGACGACGTGGACAGGTTGCGTGTCACTGATCCTCCTGGGAACATGAAGCTCTGGTCCCACTTTCCATTCATCATCATATCTGTGGGGAAAAAACAAACAGAGGGATGTTGGAAAAAAAGTAAAAAACAAAAATAATTCAAACACCCAACACCAGCTCCTCCAGGCGTGTAGGAAACACCAACACTTGACCAGTGACCCTCTGCTCCACCTACTGGTGAAACCCCTCAAGATGGAAACACAGCACATGACCACCATTACCTGGAAAATGTTGCAATTTTTCTTTGCAGCTGTGGATTCTATTAATAGCTGAGTGTGTTGTAAATGTAACTCCAGTCTTCAGGTGTAAAGTTGGTGTTTCTCCATGATTCACTGTTGATTCTGTTATTTTGACATCACTGAGCTTCTAGCCAATTGGACTGCATGCAGAAAGGCCCGCTGCACAATCCCATCAATCTATAACAACAAACTGTTATCTGCAGATGTAAACAGCTGCTGCCGTGGAAATGTGAAAATGCTAACCCGCTACATGTTGGCTAAACTGTAGCTTTTTTTCCACTTTTTTTCTATTTTTTCTGCATTCTATGTTTAGCAGTGTTGGTAATTCTTCTATTGAATTTCTAGGCTAATCTGTGGGCTAACATTAAGGCGGCTGAACAGGGAAGGTCTAGGTTTGTAATGATGTCTTGTAAAACCTTACATTAGTGGTACACAAATCTACGTTATTAAATGATTATGATATATAAATATGATATTAAATATGTTCTGAATATTGCTCTGGTTTCCTTCCTTCCTTCCTCTAAATTAATTGATTGATTGATTGATTGGTGGGGATGTTAGTGTGAATACACAGCCATGCCATGGACGTGTGAATGGCTCAGGATCTACCTGGTCCATGTCAGCTGGGTGAGGTTTGTTTATATGCAACATGGGAAGATAACAACAGGAAGCTGCAGTGCAGGGGTGTGGTGCAGTTTCACTGCAGAGAAGAAACTGGATTTAATAGAGAACCCATTATTTCCCTGCAGCTGCAGAGTGACTTCCTCTTCTGTGTGGTGGACAGAGGACAGACAGAGACAAACGCTTGTGTCTGATCATCAACTGGAGCCGGAGCAGTTGATGCCACCTCTCCTCCTCAGGGCTGGAGGAGAGATGGGGGGCGGGAGGGGGGGGGGGGGGGGGGGGGGGGTGTAGGTCCAGCCGGGGGTCAAGCACGCAGCTGACTGATTATTCAAATCATCAAATCACAAAAGCTGATTTGCCAGGCAGACGATTGGACGTGCACTATAGCGCCTCATGCTGGCTGCTGCCTACGGATCAGCCTGTGGTTCTGAGGGAGTGGTCTTCACCTGGCTGGGGTGTTTGGGCGTAGCTGAGGTGGGGGCCCTCATCTGTACTGGTCTCTGTGTCGGTGCTGAGCCGACGGGCGATGACGTCCACCTGCTTTTTCCACGACACCTGACGGAGGTCTAGCTCAGACCCCACCAACTTGACATATTTCCAGCCTTGTGTCATAGGTCAGAGGGTAGAAGCAAGCAGGCGGAGAGGCATCAAGTTTGGTTTTAGGTGTAACCTCACAATAAAGGGGTAGTTCAGTTTTTTGTTTTTTGTTTTTTTGGATGTGGTTGCAGGATGAGGTGCAGACACATGGATGAAGCTAAATGATCAGTGTAGTCAAAGAAACTGATAGAAAATGTTAGACACTTCTAAACCTCACAGTCTACATATTAGGTCAATCACAACTTTAGCTTTCAAATAAAAATAAATATTAATTAATTTATTACATTTAAATGATTTGATCTGTATTTTATTAATGATGTTGTTAGAGTGTGAAAAAATCTGTGTTGATTTTCATTTTATAAAATTGTCTGCTGGTTAGTCATCAATACATGGTGCTGATTTACTGATGACATTAATAAAAAAGAATTGGTTGAAGACTTCACTGTATTATCTGTCACTTAACTCAATCTTAAAATGTAGATTTATCCATTGAGATTTTTTTGTAGAAGAGTCAGACAAGAGTCTGTGACTCACTGTGAGACTGAGTGCAAAAATACACACACACACACACACACACACACACACACCCTGAGCCTACAGTTGGGAGGCTAATTACCTGTTTTTCCCTGGTGTCACAGCTGACAGCCAGGTTGGTTTTTCACCGAGTGTATGTGTGTATTTTGTGTGTGTGTGTGTCTGCCTGTTCCCTCTGACTGTCAGCAGCCACTGTGTCAGCACCTCATACCATCACAACGCTTCCAAAAAAAAATCCAAACCATTCCCTTTAAAAACAATCATGTGACAGAGTATGTGCTCGTATGCTGTGGTTGACGGGACAGAGGAGGAGCCAGAGGTCCAGATGGTGGAGAAGGAGCAGGAGTGTGACAGCAGTTTTAGACAAGGTAGAGACTGAGAGGTCTCTGATCCTGAAGCTCTGATGGAGCAGATTTTGTTGATGCCTGGTTGGGGTGGTGCCTGCAGGGAAGAAAAATGCCTCCCAGATGGAAGAGATTAAAATAAAAGGCAGGGCCTGGAGAATGATGTCATCTCTGGAATACATTAACGTCAGCCTATCTTGGCTTTCCTCTAAGATGTACGGAGGCAGAAATGAGGTCTCTTCAGTTTGAGGAGCCTGATGCTGGATGGAGCCCGTAGTGCTGTCCACCCCTGCTCCCTCTCACAGACAGCGTATGAGTGTATGAGGTGGAAAGAGCAGGAGAGGCTGGGATCACCGCCGGTGATCATTATGGTCTAGATAACATCTATGCACTCTGAAAATATGGCAGGCACATGCAGGGTGACAGAGCCAGGAAAGTAAATGAGCACAGTGACTTCACACTGCAGGCAGCGAGGAGCAGCTTGCGGCTGTTGTGGTTGGGTGTACCCACCATCACCAGCCACGCTGGGTGTCTTGGAGCCTGCGGGGGATTTCAGCACCTCGTTGCTGTACATCAGGTAGCTGTCATACTCGTCTCCTGCCTCTGCATCCACAATAGGGATGTCAGGAATGATGGGAACTGGGAAGGAAGACGGAAAGACACAGTGAGAATCTGTACACCTTTACAGGGAGATTCATTTCTTCTTTTTGAATTATTGAATTAAATCCAACCACAGAATTGACTTCTATAATTTAGACCTTCTGACCTCAACCTTCAGCTTAGAACAGACAAAACCAGGAAAAGGTAGAAATACTGAGGTTTTACATAAAAATCTTGCAACAGAATATTAATTTTACACCAATTGTACACACTATAATATAACAAAATAGCCAAACCAAAAGCAGATATAATAAAAGTTGGGTCAAAAGTCAATATTTATCAAAGAACAAAAAATCTGGTAACAAAATTATTTGGTGGTCAAGTTAAAAATGATGAAAAATTGTAATACTTATTTCTTGACAAAAAGAATTAACTGAGTTTGACAGAAAGAAAAAAAGAAAGTTAAGTTAAAACAAACAACAAACTTGCTAACTTTTAACCATTTGCTACAAACGAAGTCAAGTTCAAAGTCTAAAGCCCAGAAACCAGACCATCTGGAGATGTCCTACTCTCTGACTTACTGGACAGTGGTCTTGTAGGTTGTGATGCCAGGTTGATGGTGGCGTCCCTGAAGGGGCCCCAACCCATGCTGTTCTTTGCACGGACCTTGTACTGGTAGGTTTGGGCGTTCTGCAGGTTCTCGATCACCAGCATTCGCTTCTTAGGGTTATCGATCTTTACTTTCTTGGCAGCGCCCACTGGTTCTGTTAGGAGAAGAAGAAAAAACAGAAGATAATCTCTTAGAGCACAATGGATTAATCTTACTTGTACCAAACTTTTCAGGAGGGTCACTCACTCATGTCATCATTGATGGGCGTGTAGATGACCTCATAGGCTGTGATGTTGCCATTAGTCTCTGCAGGCTCCGCCCAGCTGACCTGAGTGACAGTGGGACTGATGACGTTGAAGGCCAGACGTCCAGGCTCACCAGGCACTGAGGACAAACACAGCACAGAGTACAGCCTATGATGCCTTCACTGTCATAGTAAAAAGTTGGATTGTAGCACCGTACCTACAGAAAAGTCAATATCTACGTCACTTCAGACACTTAACCCCTGAGGGGTTCAGAGCCAAAATAGTGGACCCAACTACAGCGGTCACCACTGTAAATGACAGAATTCACAAGTTCCTAATTATTTGTCTTAAAGGAATATTCTGGACTTTTTTTCTGGTTTAGAAATGCAATTCAGTCACAGAACAATTCAAGACTTGAAAGACTATTAAACTTCAGTGGAAATAGTTCCTAGTACTCCGTGTTCCGTGTTGAGATGCACTCCTTATTCCTTAATTCTTAAACCATAATCCAGTAGGAACTCTGTTCAAGCGTCATCTGTGTGGAGCTGAGTTATTACCGTCCTCCAGAGTTTGACAAGTGATGATGTCGGTGTTGTATCCTTCTCCCACTGAGTTATAGGCCGACACCCTCATCTCATAGTCACAGTAGGGGTAGAGGTTGGTCAGCTCAGCCTGAGGTGTCTTCACGTCTATGACCTGGGCGTTTTTCTCCGGGTCGCCATAGATCCAGTATTTCACCTGGAGGAAAGGGGGAAAGAAGTATGATGGGGGACAAGTAACAGCAGAATTGGCTCTGAAGGACAGAGTTGGCAGTGGGTCCACTGAGAAATGACCAAGAGGGGGCAGTGACGCAACAACCTGATGGTGACTGCCATAAAAACTGAAGACGAGAAAGACAGACTTCTAAAGATGAGAAAATCTGCTCAGGTTTGGAAGCCTTACCTTGTAGCCCTGGGGATTACCAGGGGGTGGGTCCCAGTTCAGGGAAATATTTCTGGGTCCAGTTGCAATGGCTTTAGAGTTTCCTGGTGCAAGCAGGAGACCACCGGGGGGGGGGACTTTAGGACTGATGAAGTCCTTCTGCTGAACTGTGGGATGAGGAGAACATCAGAAACGGACGCCACTCCTCAACACAGACATTGCCTAATCTGGATTCACTCGTTGTCGTACCTCCGTCTGTGATGTTGACTATGGTGGTCTTCCTCTCTCCAATGGTGGTATTACTGCTGGGCTCATACAGTTCCACTTGGAAGGTCTCTGGTTGGATAGGTCCAGGGTGAGTTTTGGGTTCAATGATGATGTTCTTCTCTGTTTCTCCAGGAGCAAACTTCAGTGGGCCAGATAGCTCAAATCGTTGGGACTTCCTGGTTCGCCATTTGACTGTGGCGGGACTTTCTGGGTTTCGAGTGCGGACCACAGGGATGACGTAGGATGGGTCAAATGTACTGAAGTTCTGGGTTCCCTTTTTGAACATTATTACACCGGGATCTAAAATAAAACATAAGTAAGAAATTCAAGAGCTTTAGCCAAGATGTTTTATCAGGACCTCTGTGTCAAGTATCGTTCTTTTTTTTTTACCTGGTTGGTCAGCAATAGTGACTGTAGTTCTTGGGTAGCGTCCCAGTTTGGCGCCCTGCCGTGGGTTACTGAGGTCCAGGACAAACTGTTTGACCTGTTTGTCATCCAGGAGGCCATCTCTCTCTGTCAGCTCCAGCAGACGAACGGGAACTATCTTCTGGGTCTCACCAGGACTGTAGCTCAGGTCGCCTTCCACGGTGATGTAGTCCTGAAAAACAGACACTGGTCAAAAACTAGTCCATGTGAGACGGGTGACTTTAAGACGTCCACACTGGCCGTTAGCCCACCTTCTTGTCCTTGGCCGTGAGGTCACGTGAACGATATGTGACCTGTGTGCGTCCATCCTCGATGATCTCTCTGCTGATTGGAATGTTGGCCACTCCGTCTCCTCGACTGTAGGTGTATGAAGGCTGGAGGAAGGAGAACACGCTGGAGGCTGTAGAGGAGAAACAGACAATAAAGTGAAGACTCCACAAAGTGAAGACTCCTCAGCAAGTGGTAGGTTGGACCACAAAGTGAAGACTCCTCAGCAAGTGACTCTCAAACGATGGTATGTGTACCAGCGGTGGTACTTGTGCCCTTTCTTCTGGTACACAGCAGAATGAGATTTTATCATGTGTGATACTTCGTTGTACTTAAATAGTGTAGTAATCTTATTGGAGTTCTGGCCATGTTTAAATACTATGAGTAAGAATATTATTCTTCTGAAAGGGTCAACAAACAGGAGGGGTCAGAGATTTCTAACCATGCTCTTTAATGATGGTGATGTTGACCAAACGTTTTCCAATCTCAGCGATGCCCAGTGGTACGTCCACGGCCTCTACCAGAAGCTGTTTTTTGTCGTCATCTTCATCTTTGACGAAGAGCGGCACGTGAACGTCCACGGACTCCACGTCCTCCTGGAACTCTACGGCTCCTGCCGCCTCTGAACAGGGACAGGAATACAGGTTAGAATGACAAAACAAACATCAGGGTTTCTTTAACACACAGATATATTTCCAACACACACCTCTGTCTGTGGCCACTGTGTAGTATCCAGGGACAACTTTGAGGTCATGGAAGTTTCCAGACTGGACGTTCTTCTCTGTGAGTTTGACAATGTCAGGAAAACTGCTGCGAGGAGCAGACAGGACGGTGTCCATGATGGTGTAGTCCTGCCTGAAAACCAGAGAAGAAAACATTCATTAAGAATAAAAACTTACTACAAACTCACTGTGTTCCTGTGTTTGGTTCTACGGGTGAAAAACCATACCTTTTTCCAGCATTTCTTTGCGATCTGTCAAAAAACAGGCATCAGTTAGACAAGGAAGAGGTTTTTTTTTTATTATTTAAATCACTCGTATCATCTGGACAAAGTGTAAAATAATAACATTCCCAAAGGCTTTACCTGAAAACTGTCTTTTGCACCTTCTGGGCCCCGGGAATCTGTTTGTACACCTCATTCAGCTGGAGGACAAAAAAAATGACTCAGTGTAACTGTCCGTAGATCTAACACAGAGGTTCCTCCAGTAAATATAAATAAATAATGAATAAGCTTACATTGTCGGCCACATCCTTGCGGAGCTGCTCCGTGTCTCTGGAATCAGGACGGGTCAGGTTCTCGGACAACAGTCTGTTCAGTCGCAGCGAGATCGGGAACTGAACTGCACAGAGTAAAAAGTGAAGAAAGAATGTAGTAAGTACTGCAGTAATGGCAGATTGTTTTTGTAGACCATTAACTCATTATGAAGACGATGTGATTATATTTGTTTATAGGACCAAAATGTTTTGTGAGGTTGCATACTTCATTAGCAAAGTGAGCTTTGACGCCACC